AAAGCATCCCTCCCGGAATCTAGGTTTTCAGAAAAATGCCTCAGAATGAAGAGACCATAGCGATTTGACCCCTACCTGGTAGTAATAGCCATTGTCAGTCCCGTAAGGTCGGAGTGGGATGCTGCCCGATGTCCGGAGGGTCCCCTCACAACCTATATGGACAGAAATCAGGCACATATGCTAATTACTCATTACTATAATCATATACAGTAAGCATATACAGTATTTGATTAACAATCTTAGTTGACTAGCATCAAGTACAATTTCTGCAATTTCTATAGGCAAATATTGTAAATTAAAGTAGGCATTTACATAAAAGCTCTATTTCTTAATTACAGCCCACTGATGTCCTTTTTATAGTGAAATAAGTCCATCAACACCTTGAGCATCCATTCTGAAAAACATGGCAAACCAAGACTATGGAAGTTAATGGACGGAGATAATTACTGAATTCCCAGAGACACAAAGATCATTTTTAAGGAGCCCCAGAAATCAAGTAGTAGATTTTAGTATTGTAGGTCACCCAATACTAAACACACAGTCAAGGCAAATTATTTTACAAACATCATAATAAACGTAATCTGTGCACAGGATATCTCAAGCTGCTCAAGGATATCACATCAGCTCAAGCTGAATGAAACATTCAAAGAAAAGATATTCTTTCACTCATGTTACAACTGTCTAAGGATGTGTATCCTTGACTGATACAGTGCGCTATTGTTATTGAGCATTGTTATTGGATTTCATACTTTGATGTAATATTAATCGTATGATGCATTTAAATATTGTGCCGTATGCCAAGAAACTTATACTAGCGGCATGGTTCAAATTACAGGGAAGCTAAGGAGCGCTCAGCTCCACTGAAAAGGATAGGGGCCCCCCCTGAAGAACTCCCCTGAGACCTTTAGGGGGAGCTCTAAAAAATTGCCCTTTTGTGTTATAGGCTGTATAACCTATATCAGGGGTGAGCAATCTTATCCGCAAAGGGCCGGTGTGTATGCAGGTTTTTGGGGTAAGCTTTAGGTCGGCTGTTCAAACCCAGGTGTGAGGACTCTTCAGCCAATCAGTCCTCTACTCAGTAATCTAATTAGGGAGTTGCAGTGAAAACTCGCATACACTGTGGCCCATTCTGGATAAGATTGCCCGCTCCTGACCTATATATTTAAGTTATATATCTAGGTTCCTGAAATAAAACAATAGTATAAATATGTCTGTGTTGTGTGTTTCTTCGCTCACTAATTAATAAAATTCTGTGTCTATTGTGCCTATATGAAATGTTACTGATGGTATTAACTGGCTGCAGTAGTAACAGTAGAATGTTTTTCACAAAGACCCTGTGATTGACCACGCTGCCGCACACTTGTATGCATGAGTGTGCATGTGACTGCACACCGGAAAACAGGGCTCCCCCGAAAGCCTCTGTGTGACTCGAAGCCTGACTAAGCCGTAATTCAAACTTTTATTTGACATTATAATTAAGCTCCTTCATCCTATGCAGTCCTCTTTACTTCTACCCTGCCTAGACTCTAACATTACTGCATGTGGGGCAATTTTCGGCAGCGGAGGGGGGCCTAAGACAGCCCACATTTATAAAACCTGTGTTCATGGTTAAAACAGGGTCTAATTGGTGCCAGTTTGGAATTATCTGATCTGCCGAACAAGAGAACGCGGGAGGCGGGGGGGGGGCATTCATCATTGCCCCAGATTCCCAAACAGCCGCAGAAGGAGACGGATGCCCCAGTGCTCATTAATGCGATAATCGGCCGGGTGGGCGCCCTCATTCAGTCCTGCGTCGTGCGGCTGCTGCGAGATGCGATTGGCTCACGGCCCACTCTCTGCCTGGAGTCCCCAGCGGCAGGGTGTCTGCTGTTAACGTGCCCGGCTGGGCCTTCCAGAAATCCCACATGGTCACCTGTAGCTGTGACTCCCCGGGCAACGGATGTTGTGGGTACAGCAGCAGAGAGAGAGTTTCAGGAGAACGTGCAGCACATGGACTCATCCCTCAGGGAGCCGCTGGTCCCTGCAGAGGCTTGTTTGCATCATTGTTGAATCTTAACTTGAGTTGCTCCAGTACAATGTCCAGCTGAATGAAGCAACTAAACTTTAATATATGATGTGGCTAAGGATTCATTTTTTTCTCTATTTAAAAGCTGATATTGGACTTACACTCACAACCTGTCATCGTAAAGAAAAACAGCTTTATGGAAGAACAGCTTTATGGAAGAACAGCTTTATGGAAGAACAGCTTTATGGAACCTTCCATCCATTTTCTGAAACTGCGTGTCCTACTCAGGGTTGTGGGGGTCTGGAGCCGATCCTGGAGGTTATGGGTGCACGGTGGGGAACAACCCAAATGGGGTGCCAACCCATCACAGGGCACACTCACACACTCACACACTCATACACACACTCATACACACACTCACACACTCATACACACATTCACACAGGCAATTTGGCAATCCCAATTAACCTCAGTATGTTTTTGGACTGTGGGGGGCTGGAGTGCCTGGAGGAATCCCCATGATGACACGGGGAGAACATGCAAACTCCACGCAGATGGAGCCATGGAGGAGACTTCATCTCTGGTCCCAGAGGCGTGAGGCAACAGCGGTAACCAGTGCTCCACCTGAATATCAAAATACCAAGATCTCTAAAAAATGTACAGTACTGTGCAGAGGTACTGAGCAAATACACACCAGATCGACAGCTTTTAACATTTTTTTCAGTATGATAACTTGCATCTGTTGACTCCGGTTGAAAGATATCACAGTAACTGCACTCTGTCCCCTGTAGTCTTTACAAGGAGAATTCTGCTCAGTAGCTGTTTACTCAAGAAGTTTGTACTAATAAGAAAGCCTGTCTCCTGGCTGCTATCTGGCTGTGATTGCTACAATAAAACTTTAGTGCTCCAGACACAAAAGCTTTATGAAGTGCAGGGGCCATAAATGGGCTAATGGATCTGCCTCTCCAAGCTACATCCTCCATTACTTCTCTGTCACATTTATTGCTTCTGGAAAGAAATGCAGGTATGTGGTCATTTCTAATGGGCACATCTTCTTTAGTTTTTCTTTCCTCTGATTTAATATTCTCTACTACATTATTATTATTATTATTATTATTATTATTATTATTATTATTATTGTTGTTGTTGTTGTAACAACATGGAGCCAAAGGTGTTTTCTTTCAAACGTCATGTTTCTTTTTTTTTATGCCATGTGATCAGGCTTTGTCATCTCATTAAATCGCACAGTGTCACCAATCCATTTCTATAACCAAAGCATGAGGCGGGGGATGCTCTATAAGTGATGTAGAGATACCAGGTCGCTCGATTGTCGTTGATGCGTAGCCAGTGCTACCCCAGGGAGGGGAACCCTACAGGCATGAGCATGCAGTGCCA